ACCTCTATCTCTACCACCCTTATAGGCAGTGAGTTCCAGATTCCCACCACTTACTGGGTGAAAATATTTTTCCTCATATCCCTTGTAAACCTCCTGCCCCCCCAATGTAAATCTATCCCCTCCCTCACCTCCCACCCCCTACCCCCACCTCCAACTCCACCCACAGCACAGGTCATTGCTCCCTCCACCAAGGGGAAATATTCCTTCTGTCTACCTTATCTATACCCCTCATAATTTTATATGTGTCAACCATGTCCCTGTCAGTCTCCTCTGCTCCAAGGAAAACAACCCCAGTCTGTCTAATCTCTCTTCAGAACTGAAACATTTCAGCCCAGGCAACATCCTGGTAGATCACCGTCTGCACCCTCCCCAGTGCCATCACATCCTTCCTATAATGTGGATTCCAGAACTTCACACAGTACTCGAGCTGTGGCCTAACCAAATTTTATGCAGTTCCAGCATCACCTCCCTGCTCTTAAACTCCATGCCTCCGTTCCTAAAGGCAAGTATACCATTATAACTTCTTAACCAATTATCTACCTGCTACCTTCAGGGACCAGTGGACATGCACACCAAGGTCCCTCTGATCCTCTGTACTTCCCAGGGTCCTACCATTCATCGTGAATACTTTCCTTGTTTGTCCTGCCCCTGTGGAACATCTCACATTTATCTGGATTGAATTCCATTTCCTGTTGAATAGCCCATCTGTCCAGCCTATCTATATCCTCCTGTAGTCTAAAGCTATCCCCCTCACTACTTATCACCTCGCCACTTTTCATATCATCTCCTACATTCAAAGCTAAATCATTTATATGTACCACAAACAACAAAAGCCCAACTCTGATCCCTGTGGAACCCCAACAAACACAGGCTTCCAGTCACAAACACACTTGACCATCACTCTCTTCTTCCTGCTGCTCAGCATTCTGGATTCAATTAGCCAAATTATTTTGGACCCCATGAGCTCTGAGCTTCGCTATCAGTCTCCCATGGGGAATCTAATCCAAAGCCTTGCTGAAGTCCAAGCAGACTACATTGAACATATTGCCCTCATCTACATACCTGGTCACTGCTCCAAAAACTTTAAACAAGTTAGTTATTAAGATGTTGTTAAACTTGAAAGGGTTCAGAAAAGATTTACAAGGATGTTGCCACAATGGAGGGTTTGAGCTATAGGGAGAGCCTGAATAGGATCGGGCTAATTTCCCTAAAGCATCGGAGGCTAAGGGGTGACCTCATAGATGTTTATAAACGCATGAGGGGCATGGATAGGGGTAATAGCCAAGGTCTTTTCCCCAGGGTAGGAGAATCCACAACTAGAAGGCATAAGGTTTAAAGTGACAGGGAAAAGATTTAAGAGACCGAAGGGGTAATTTTTTTCACACAGTGGGTGTTGTGTGTATGGAACAAGCTGCCAGAGGAGATGGTGGAGGCTGGTACAATTACAACATTTAAAAGGCATCTGGATGGTTACATGAATAGGAAGAGTTTAGAAAGATATGGGCCAACTGCTGGCAAATGGGACTAGATCAGTTTGGGATATCTGGTTGGTGCGGGCGAGTTGCACTGAAGGCTCTGTTTCCATGCTGTATAAATCTATGTCTCTATGATCACGGTCAGACACGTTCTCTCCTTAACAAAACCAAACTGACTGTTCTTGATTTAATCCCTGCATCTCCAAGTGCAGCTTAATTCTATCCCTCAGAATTGCTTCCAACAGTTCCCCATATTTGAGGTTAGACTGAGTGACCTGTAGTTTCCAGGTTTATCCATTGTGCCCTTCTTGAATAATGGCTTCTGGCTCAGAGACCGGGAAATTACACACTGCTCCTGAGATCTCCACATGCATGGAATGTACGTATAAACTTGCAGCTCTGAATTTTCTCATATTAATCTTGCAGAACGCAGATGGGTGGAGGGACATGTCAAGCTGAATCCATCGTTGCTGTCTAAAAAACCACTCAGAGAGATCATTAGCTAAGAAATTGGGCACAGCATGGGTGATATGCAAGCAGCAGGAGATGAATTTCCTGCAGGCTTGTCAAATTATAACCACAGACTTTCCCTGTGTGTCTAGTGTAGGGGCTTTAATTGTGGTGCGTATTGTCGGAATTGAGAACATGTCAGACAATTTGCACTGAGTTATCTTGAGCTTTTTTTTACCTCTGGTTACAGTTACACCAGTAGCCTAGGAGAAGAAACCTCAGCATTGCACTCAGTGACATCATTACTTCATCGTGCACTGGAACAGAGGGTAGATGTTGGAGGGCTCTTTAGGAGTTGAAACAAAGTGAGTCACCTCTAGTTGTGCAATGGTAAAGACAGTGGCTCAGGAAGGGTGAGGTTCTTGCTGAGAGGAGGCATAGAATCATCGTGGGGCCATGCTGAATCACCTCAACCACTTTGAGTTCACAGGGCTGTCAATGGAAAGAGAATCATTTGGTCACGCAAGCTAGTGCAACAGTTGATTTAAACAAAAACCAAAATTGCTGGAGAAATTTGACTTGATGTTTCAGATCCAGTGACCTTTCTTCAGTGACCGGAAACATGAACTCTTGTTTCTCTGTCTACACATGCTGCCAGACCCGCTCGGTTTCTACAGCAGTTCTGCTTTTGTTTCTGATTTCCAGCATAAGCCGTTTTTGTTTTGTTTTATGCAACAGCTACCTTGCTTCCCCGAGGAAGCTATGTACCAGTGTTGGTGTTAAATACTGTCATTGCAAACCAGCAATGAAGCCATGCCATGCTGTGGACCTAGCACATCTGGTGGGCAGAAGGGCACATTGTCTTCATCACACACACTCACTGCAACTTCAGCACTTTCAATAAACAGGCCACACGTCAATTTCCATTTGGTAGTCATTAAGCCATTATTTACAGCACTCCTGACAGATGGTTGTTTACTTCTTTATTTATAAGTTCAATGAAGCATCAAGAAAAGAATGAAGACCTTGTGAAGCTGTAATTTTATTTCTGATTTCTCCAAGTACATTTAAGCGACTCTAGGACAGGCACATGGATGATAGTAAAATGTAGGGTTTTCAGGGTAATTTGATCTTAGAGTAGGATAATAGGTCGGCATAACATCGTGGGCTGAAAGGCCTGCACTGTGCTGTACTGTTCTATGTTCTATGTTCTATGTAAGCACACTTCTCTTCATCCTTCCTAACATGTACCTAACCTTGTGGCTGCTCCTGTAGACAATGCAGCATGCAGCACACCTCAGCAACTTTTAAAACTTAACTGGAATATGCTGTACAGTGATCTACACATCAGAACTATTAATTAATGTTTTCTTTTTAAATTCGTTCATGGGATGTGGCTAAGCCAGGAATTACTGCCCATCCCTGATTGGAGAGGTGACAGTCAACCACATTGTGTGGATTAGGAGTTAGATGTAAGTTAGGCCTGGTAAAGATAGCAGATTGCCTTCCCTAAAGAACCTTAATAAATCAGACAGGTTTTTACAACAATCGATCATGGTCACCATTAGGCAAGCTTTTTACTCCAGATTTTGTTTTTTCTATTGAAGTCAAATTTCACCATCTGCCATGGTGGGATTCAAACCAATGTCTGTAGAACATTCACCTGGGGTCCTGGATTACTAGCCCAGTGAGAATGCCACTACATCAATCCCTCCTGTCTTCATATGTCAAATGTATGCTGAATGCTGTTCCCACCTCTCGAATTGACGTCATTTAGATGTCCTTCCCTGGAACAGGCTTCAATAGTTAATGAGCAGCTTGCAGTGATGTCGTGAGCCATATTTTGAATGGAGAAACCACTGTGTCTGAGCAGCTGAATGCCCAAAGAGACTTTTCAAGAGTTAATGAAGTTCCAATAAGACATAGCTGAAATAACTGCTCAAAGGCTGGTATCCCATCACCAAGTCACCCTTTATTTACACGTGCATAGAACATGATACCGACCCAGCTAGCTTAGAGCCAGCTCCTAGAGTGAACAAACCCCTGATACTCCAGTTCTTATCTGTCAGCCAGGGCTGTCTTATTGAACCAGGTTAGCAGCCCCAATCAGGGAACTCATACTCTATGAGATCCACTTGGCTGACCTCGTTACTCTCACTACAGTAGCCACTGTGACTGCTGCTGGAACAGTGAGGGAGAACTTCAATTCAGAGCCATCACTTTCGAGAGCCAGAAAAATGACTTGGGTGTGGGAGGCTGTGGTACAAAGCATGTACGTTGATGTGCACGAATGTGACTAGATTTCATCTGGAGCTTAGAACATGAGCAAAATTTGCCAAAGCTTTACTGATATAACAAACAAGACGGCACATTAATACAGACATGAAGCATGTTTTAGTTGCATTGAAGTGAAACAAGTTGGTTAACATAGACTCCTGAAGAGGATAAATTACATATTGTTTGAAAAAATTATCTTGTCTTTCCTCAACATTAAGCAGGCTAACATGCTGAGCGATTCCAATATTTTTCCCATTCACTTCAAATTTCTAACATCTGTAGTCATTTCAGTTGGCATGGTGGCTCAGTGAATAGCACTGCTGCCAGGGACCCGGGTTTGATTCCACCCTTAGGTGACTGTGTGAAGTTTGCACTTTCTCCCCATGTCTGCATGGGTTTCCTCATGGTGCTCCAGTTTCTTTCCACAATCCGAAGATGTGCCAGTTAAGTGGATTGATCATGCTAAATTGTCCAGGGATGTGTAGGCTTGGTGGATTAGCCATGGGGAATGGAGGATTATAGGGTTGGTGGTGGGCCTGGGTGGGATGCTCTTTGGCTGGTTGGTGTGGACTCTTTGGGCTCAATGGCCTGCTTCTTCATTGTAGGGATTGTATGATTTTTTTTGCTTAAAGAAAGATGGCTTACATTATAAGTGAAAGTGTTTGTGTGGTAGTCTAACGAAGTTATTCACTGTATTAACTTTTGGAAAATTAAATTATCAAGAAAGAAATTTCGTCCTATCTAATCATTACTTTATCCTGGAGATTAACTTTCGTTTCTTTTCACTCTTTGATTTAGGTGCTGGATGTGGGCATACAGTCATTGGCCCTGAAAGTGGTACTCTGACTTCCAAGAATTACCCTGGCACTTACCCGAATCACACCTTCTGTAAATGGGAGCTGCGAGTTACATCAGGGAAGGGTATCATTCTGAGGCTTAGTGACTTGAACATTGAGTACACGGAGGACTGTTCATCCAGTTCTTTGAAAATCTATAGTTCATCATCTGCTAATATTAGCCATGGTAAGGAGTTAATGTACTGAGTAAATTTGTCAATGTGTCATATCGTCTAAAGGGAACAAGGCACATTAAGAAAACGTGGCCAGGTATGTGTTAGCACACAGCCATTCTGATTTTTATTATGGGGCTGGATCACGATGGCTAGTGGGAGATTTTGATTGGAATACAATGTTTTTGTGATACATCTAACTGTTCCATTTGAAAGAATGTTATATTTTAGCATGGATGAATGTCTTACTGACTGAAAGGTGATCTGCTGTGAACCCAGTCCCTGAGCATTCTTGTAGCAAGTTTCAGAAGTGTTGTACTTCAGGGGATTGCATCATACTGCAGAGCTAAGTACATGCAATGAAGTGCAAGAAGTATTTTTGCGTACCACTGGGCGGTGGGGGATCTGTACATGGTCGTCTCCCCACTTTCCATCAGAGGCCCTGGGGTGAAGGGTGCTGCACTCAGCTGTACCATGCCTCCACAGATTGCAGCAGTTCACAGATTCTCAGCCCAACTGTTTATTTTGTGGTGCTGTGGAATCTGTTTGTCATGCATTTTTCGGATGTAGGTGATTTTAGTTATTCGAAACGCCTTTTGTTGTGCTTTTGGTTGCACTGCAGCCCCGCGTTCCTGATCTTCAATCATCTTGTGTGGGGGGGGAGGGGTGCACGGGTATGGGCAAGTCAGAGGATTTCCCCGTGGGCCTCCTCCTGGGCTTAGCTAACTTGGCTATTAACAGGATCAGGTAGTGGCTACAGGGGGTATCATAGCTTCTGAGTGTCTGCCCTTCCACGACTGCATTCATTCCCGCATGTCTTTGGAGAGGGAGTGCATATTGTCCACCAATACTCCAAATGTTTTTAGAGAGAGATGGGCAGTGCCCTATCTCCCCTGCCTCCCCCTTTTGACTTAGCCCTCTCCATTTGTCCCCACCTGTCCCTCACATTTGGTGATCTGCATTGACCCTTAACGGGCTTTGCACATCAATTAATCAGTTGGAAAATACGAGTGATTTACTGGTGGTGGTTAAAAGATGAAACGAAGTGTACCACAGGGTGAAGACCAAAAGAACTGTGGATGCTGGAAATCAGAAACAATACAGAAATTGCTGAAAAAACTCAGCACGTCTGGCAGCATCTTGTGCAAATACCATGGTAGTTTGGTGATGGGGAAAAAAATTGCTCGGTTGTTTCTAAGAGCACTTCAAGATATGGAAAAAAAAATGAACGTGTCCAATCTGTAAAATCATTTAGATTTCAAAGTCCTCAGCAACATGGTTTTGGAGGGGTTTTGGTAGTTGCTGTTTCTGTGTTTAGATGCCATGAACAATTTTGTGTGCATAAGCATCAGTTTAACTTCACACATGGCATATGCAGTCATTTCTTCATGTACACGCGTAAGGTAATAATTTACATCAAGATAGGTAGTTTGCAGCACAGTCATGAGTTTAGAATCCAAAAATAGAGTAATCATTAATGCTATTTGTCCTGTAATGCTATTTGCTATATTTCCTTTGTGATAAAAAAAACTGCTTTCTATTGTTCTAACCATTTGTACTGTGCAAGTCAGTTATCTGTGAATATTGCAACATCCAGGAACTCTTCAGAGCACATTAGCTAAATTCAAGGCCCACTATGGGTTGCTGTGTTTGGTTCTGCCTACTATTGGGGTGGGACTTGTTGTGAGGTTTTCACTAGATCACGCAAAACAATTAAAGGCCAGTTACTGTTAGTCAGACAGAGAGAAAGAAGAGCAGACTCCATGCATGAGGAGTGCCGGTAATGCTCAGAAGGGCAAGGAAGGCCACTCGGTCTGTATTGTTGGGACTCAGAAAGAAATCTCACTTGCTGCTTAATGGTTCTGTGTAGTTAAGACTCAGACGTCCTGAGGGCAGTAGGTGCAGCTGAGTGTTTTGCACTTAGGACTTGGGAGAAGTCCTGGGAACAGTTGGGTGGAGGAGTTGGAAGTAGGGTAGAATGCTGAAAAGAAGCCTGTGAGAAATTCAAAATTCAGTGCTACAGAGAGTGGGGTGAAAGAAGACCACAAGCAGTATTTGCTTGGTGCACCAAGAACTGGGGAAACCTGGGGGCAGTACTAGCTTGGTGAAGCTAGCTGTCTGCAGAAACCTTAGAGTTGCACCTGAGAGTTAGTGATGGAGGTCAGCTTCTGGAACCCAGGAGACAGTAAACCCAGGATAAGAGGGTGAAGAACTAGGGTGTGAGAAATTATTAAGGCAATCTGTTGATGTAACAACATTTGAAGGAGTTAAAAAGCTAGGTTTTTGCAAGAGAAGAAATGGGAGTCCTTAAAACATGTCAATGGGATTTAGAGACCCTTGGTGTCACTAACACCTGGGGTTTACTAGGAAATCCATAGGATTTGCTAATGATGTGCTCTGGAAGGAATTCTAATTCTAGGAAGGACTGGACCAGGAATTTACAGGCCAGCCAGTCTAACCTCAGTGGTGGGGAAATTATGAGCATTCTGCACGTCAGTTTACATTTGCACTGGAGACATAGATTAAACTGGGCTGGTCAGCATAGATTGTTAAGTGAAGGTCGTGTTTGACAAAGTAATCAAGTTTTTTGAGGAGGTAACCAGGAGTGTTCATGTGGGTAATATATTTGTTGTGATGTATGTGGACTCGAGCAAAGTTTTTGATAAGGTACCTCATTGTTACTCATGTGTTTCAGGTTAATTCTGGATGCCAGAATATAAATTGCATGTAAATATATGCATTATAGGTTGTATTACTGTTTAAATTTGGATAGTAAAATGTATTATTGTTTGTTCAAGACCTGGAAATTTTGGGCTTTAATTGTGCTACCTGGAATCTCAAATTTTGTTTTAAAAATATGCTCCTGGTCCCAAGCCAGATCATATACTGTAGCTGCCAAAATTATGTTTTCAGTCATTAGCATGAGTCATGAATGCTGTGTTGCCTGCCTGGTGCCAGGGTTAAGGACATCTCCTCGGGGCTGGAGAGGAACTTGGTGAGGGATGGGAGGAACCCAGTTGTTGTCACCTATGTTGGTACCAATGACATTGACTGAAAAGAAGGTGCTGCTGAAGGTTTTGAACAGTTTGAAGCAAACTTGAAAAGCAGGACCTCCAAGGCAATAATCTCGGGATAGCTACCCGAGCCACAGGCAAACTGGCATAAAGTAAATAAAGTCAAGTAGATATCAGGGGCCCTGGCAATAATTTTCAAATCCTCTCTGGCCTTAGGTGAGATACCACCGGAACATTATTGAAATGTCCCATTAACTGGGCAATTACAAGCCAGTCAGTCTAACCTTCGTAGTGGGAAAGTTATGAAAATTTTGAGGAACAGATTATATCAGCACTGGAGACATGGATTTACCTGGGATGGTCAGCATGGATTTGTTAAAGGAAAATAATGTTTGACAAATTTGGTCAAGGTTTTGAGATGGTAACCAGGACTGTTGATATGGGTAAAACATTTAATGTGGTCTCTATGAACTTTGGCAAGGCTTTTGATAAGGCACTTCATGGCAGACAGCTCAACCAAGTAAAAGCCATTAAGATCCAAGGCAAAGTAGCATATTGGATTGAAAATTAGCTGAGAGGCAGGAAGCAGAAGGTGATGGTAGAGGGATATTTCTGTGACTGGGAGGCTGTGTCCATTGGGGGTCTGCACGGCTCAGTGCTGCTGCCCTCACTGTCTGTGGTGTACATTATTGATTCGGACTTAAATACAGGGATATGACCAAGATGTTCACCGAGACATGAGAATTGGTCTGGTTGTAAATATTGAGGTGGGTAGCCATATACTGCAGAAGGATATCAATGGACTGATGGACAGATCAATGGCAAATGGGAGTCAACCTAGAAAAATGTGAGGTAATGCATTTTGGAGAGCTGAGTTGGGAAGGAATTAGGTAGGACCTTGGAAGATACTGAAGATTAGAGGAACCTTGCTGCGCCTATCCACAAATCCCTACAGGAAGAGCAGAAGCTAGATAAGTTGGTACAGGAGTCATGTGGGATATGTGCTTTTATTAGCCAAGACAAAATTGCGAAGATGTTATACAGTGACTATATAAAAAGCTGGTTAGGCCAAATCTAGAGTATTTATTAAATATTCATTTATTTGGTTAATTATGGGTATCACTGACTGGGCCAGCATTTATTGCCCATCCCTAGTTGCCCTTGAGAAGGTGGTGGTGAGCTGCCTTCTTGAACTGCTGCAGTCCAATGGTAGACCCATAATGTCATTAGGGAGGGAATTCCAGGATTTTGACCCAGCGACAGTGAAGGAGCTGTGATACATTTCCAAGTCAGGATGGTGCGTGGCTTGGCGGAGAACTTGCAGGTGGTTGTGTTCCTATATGTCACTCTAGATGGTGCTGGTCGTAGGTTTGGAAGATGCTGTCTCAGGAGCCCTTGGTAAATCTCTGACATTCCAGATAAACTTTGTTTCTGATTTCTGACATTGAGCATATTTCCCTGTACTGTGGATGACTTTGTCACAGCTACCCATTTGATTGTAGCAGATCTACTGGGTGGGTGGGTTGGTTGCAGGCAGCACAAATCAATGATTCTCCCATTCTCCCACCACTCTTGCTGCTTACTGCTCTACGGTCTAATGATAGTACAATTTCACAATTCTCTGCCTCATTTTCAAATCCCTTAGGGATTTCACCCTTCCCTATCTCCGAATCTTCTCCTATTACTCCAATCTTCCAACTTCTCTGCACTTATCCAATTCTGGTCTCCTATGCATCTCTGATCTATGATTCTATTTTTGGTGGCAGTGCTTTTACTGCACGTGCCCTATGCTCTAGAATTCCCTCCCTAAACCTATCCGCATTGCTCTTTCCTCCTTTATTGATGCATTTCATAACATAACTCCTTCACCTGGTTTAACACCTCCTTATGTGGCTTGTTGTCAGATCTGGTGTGATAGTGCTCTTGTCAAATAAAAATTAAAATAAAAAATAAAAATTAAAAACACCATATAGATGCAAGATTTTGTTATATTTATCGTA